CCCCCATCGCAACCGGCCCCCCCCCACCGCCTCTCCTTCCTCTCCTGTCCCTTCGGAAGAGTCTATAGCCATCCATTGCAGCGCTCCAATCATGAGAGTCACTCCACCATGTTTCTGTGATGACGACTAAGTCATATCTCTCCCGCTGCACGATGGCTTCCAGCTCCTCCTGTTTGCCGCCCATGCTGCATGCATTGGTGTAGATGCACTTGAGCTGGGCTATCGATTTCGCCCCCGGCATCGGCATGCCCCCCCTAGGCTCATCTCTAGTGAGCCTGGTTTTACCCCCTTCCCCCTTCAAACCTAGTTTAAAGCCCTCTCGATGAGCCCCGCCAATTCATGAGCAAGAATCCTTTTCCCCCTGTGAGACAGCTGAACTCCATCTGTCGCCAGCAGGCCTGGTGCCATGTAAACCTCCCCATGATCAAGAAAGCCAAAATTCCTCTGATGGCACCAGCCCCTGAGCCACGTGTTGATCACGTGTGTTTTCCTGTTCCTTTCAGTATTCTTCCCTGCCACTGTAGGGATAGAGGAAAACATTACCCTGTGCTCCTGATCCTTCAACCAGTCACCCCAGTGCCCTGAAATCCCTTTTGATCTCTGCAGGACTTCTCTCTGCCACCTCATCACTGCCAGCCTGTAAACCAATAGTGGATAGTAGTCAGAAGGCTGTACCAGACCAGGGAGTTTCCTAGTAATGTCTCTGACCTGGGCCTCTCTTATTGGTGCCTCTCCTCCCCCCTGCCCCCCCCCTTCTTTTTTTTTCAGGAAGGGGGGATTGTTTCTTTTGTTTTGTTTTTTAATTGAGCTGTCTTTTGAGAGCACTGCTGTGTGGACATATGCAAACAATGCAATTAGTGTGGATTTCAGCATAGTACACCACTTATATCTGAGCACATCCCTTTTCTTCACTATCATTCCTTCTTTACACCATCTCAACTTCTTTCTTCCCTCTATCTTCTGTTTTCGTTGCTTTGTTTCGTCTGTCGATGCCCAGGATACCTTATCTTGAAGCTTTTGGTAGCTTCCCCTCCTCCAAGTCAAGGTGCTTCCTTCCTTTCATGCCCTCTCTGTGTTGTACTTGACTCATCTCATTGAGGGTTAAGTTGCTATTTGTGCCTAAAAGCTGTATGTGTATATATGTCCACATGTGCATGCATCAGTATGGAAACTTAGGCGTTCCAGTGTGAAACTAGTTTCTGTACAGTAATGTAAATGGAAAACATTCTTAAACGTGTTTTGAAGTATATTGCAGTGCACCAGCTTATTCTGAGAACTTCACGTATGTAAAATATCTTACATGTGTAGCACTACAAAACCTGAATGAATTGTCAATTGACAGTATAGAACTGCAGAGAGTGGAGTAAGCAATGAGATCCCATGGCGTGGGACCACTCAAAACAGGGTGGAATTATAAAAGGGCTGTAAGGTATAAGAGGAAACCTCAATCCCTTTCTTCATTGCACTCTGAGACCAAATTCTGGTCTGTATTCTCTCTTGTGCAGCCTTATTGAACCCAGTTCTTAAGTGGTAGACCTTAGTAGGGACTGACTGTTAATTTACATCATCCTCTCCCATTCTGTCTGAGAATTATCTGCTGTGTCCTTCTGTATTCTTATACTAGCAGATGATGCATTTAAATGGCAGGTCAAACTGAAGTGTGGGAGATGCTCAAGCTAATCACACATTGTGAGGTATCTCTGCAGGTGTTTTATAGCTGTAGCATGGAAATGCTAAAGATTTAATTGACTGAGTGTGTAACAAGAACAGGAAATGGCACAATGGCAATTCATTTTCTCTGAGAATACAGTGGGAACACAGGCTGCAGCAACCTTAATTAGATTTTCAGTTAAACATTTTTAGCAAGGATGGGAAGTTCAGCTAATTGAATCTGTTCTAATTTCCATCCTCCCGTTCATCATTTTTTGCTCTTCATTTTGGGAGATATCTCAAGAAATAGCTCTCATTGTTCTCTGCTCATTGCAGTATGCGATGACAGATGGTAGGCAACATGCTGATGTGCAGGGTAGCTACATGTAAGCCATAGGAGCTCCCACCTGTCTTCATTATAATGAAACTGAACTGGATCCACTCCAGTGACTTATGACTGCCTTCCCTTTCCCCTTTCCTCCCAGTCTCCATCCGCTTTAATGTGAGAATAAGTTTGTTGTCTATTAATAATGCCCCAAATGTTTAATTGCTGTTGCAGTGAACTGTAGAAAATCTAAAAGAAATGTGGTGTTCTGCCATGAAGAGGCGCAGGTCTAAATAATCATCAGTCTTTAGCATCCCTGCAGTTAGCACTATAGGCTATTGTGTTTGGGTTTTTTTCTGTGTGCATCTGGCTGATTAAGCACCAGTTAATGCACAGGTACCTTGTTTTGGCACCTGTTGATCTACTAATTTCAAACGTGAGTTCTCCCCCAGAGGATGATACTTTTAAAAGAGAGAGTATGTTGAAGTCACGATGTAGAAGTTAGCACTTAAAGGTGCTTTGTGGGTTAGAGATGTATTGCTGTGGCACCTCTCAAAACTAGGAAGTCCTATCACAATTTACCTGCATGCTACATATGTTCCCAGGTCCAGGCAAAGCTGGCAGTAGATACATACGCAGTAGCCAGCTCTGTACTGGCTAGAGGATTACTGTCTGAACCCTGGAGTAGATATTTTGGCAGTTTCTGTAGATCTGGATGATACGACACTCTGAGGAAATATTTCTTAGATGTTCTGTAGTTCAAGCTGTTTTGGATGCTAAACTCGCATATTTTAAGAGTCCTTCTAGTTAAATTGATTCCAGAAACGTTCAAGAAAGGAGCTTCTGAGAAAATTAGGCTTTGTGCCTGCCTGTTTCTCAGAATATCCTAAATGAAGCAAATGGTTAGCTTTTAGTTAGAAACCTATTTTAAGGTACACATGTAGTCCGCTTCAACTTCTTTAAAAGAAATATGAATTACACAGATTTCTAAAAAGCTTCTTGTGGTGTTATGCCAAATGGCCTTTTACAAATTCCCATAACCTGGGAAGAAGGTACAAATATGAAAAGACCTGCAGATTCTCAAGAGGTCTTTGCCAAGTACAGAAGCTTGCTAGATTGCTTAACTGAGCCATGCTTGTGACTCTCAAGTCTTTAATTTATCATTGAGGGAAGGGGTTGCATTTCAAAGAGCAAATAGCAAATTTGTGCCCCTTGGGGTAGCTTGTGATTTGTGCTTTTTGCGGAAAGGTGGGGAGAAAGGAATACCAACTGAACACAGCCAAAATAGAGTTGACTTTTCAGGGTGGACATTCAGTCCCCTCTGCAAGCAGGATCGCTGAAGGAGTTACGAGCTAGGTTCCCCAAAGCTGAGACAGCCAGTGTTTGGTAATCTCCGTTTAAGTTTTAAAAGGCAAGTTCAGGTTGTAGACCACCACATTTGGAGGGATGTTGGTAGGTTATGGGCAGACTGTGGCAAAGTATGACTTTAGGTAGCTTTGACAGTACGTCTGAAACTCTGGTAGTCACTGTTGCTCTAACCTAGGGCTTCTCCTTAGCTAGTTATGAAGGGAGGATTTGTGAGAGGAGTGGAATATGCATGCTAGTCTACTGCATGTGTTTCATTCGTGTCACAACTCGAACCTTTAGAGTTGTAGGAGAGTTAGTCAATACTTTTATTTTTATATACTTTTGGGCAAACAAACTATTTATCATTGGGTCAACTGAAACTAAGCAAATTCAGGTCAAAGGCAGCTCACAGGAGCAAAAGAGGAAAAACTTCATTTTGGTATTTTTAGAAATCAAACATCTTTGACTCTGCTTTGAAAAGACAGGGTTTTCGGGTGTGTGTTTGAATGCATTGAGACTTGACAAAGAAGAATAATTCAAATGGAACAAGTCAGGGCTTTTTGATTTCCAGTTGGGTAAGAAAAGACTCAACTAGTTGTTTTCTGTTCCTTCTTACCTTGCACACACTTGTCTCCATGGGGAGAAAATTAGTGTGATTCCAAAAGGGCTCCTTAGGGTGCAATGCAGACAGTTGGAGAACTAAGACTCTTAAGGGCTGGCACAGAATGGTTTGTCATAAGCAAGTGTGTCTGTACAAATGTGAACATAGGCTGTATGTACAGATAAGTGCCTCTTACGATATGTGACCTAATGAAGTGTTGCAAACCTTCAGGGAGACTGCAGCTGGACATGGGCTGAGTCTGATCAAGAATGAGTTTCCTGCCAACTAGCAGGATTTGCCTAAAGGGCTTGTGGTTACTAGGTGTTCCTCAGATGCTGCAGCCCTTTTCTGATAAGGAACAAGGAGTAAAGAGAGAAGTCACAGCTCTAGGCACTGTTTGGTTTGGTCACCAAATAAAAAAAACCTCAGTATCTGAGCACTGAGTCAAAAGCATCTAAAATACTATCCTAATTAGTTATTTATTTTAATATTCAAAAAATGGTGTTATTCAGTAGTCAAAGTACAGCTTAGTCATAGTTCCAGCACATGCTAATTCAGGTGTAAACCAAACTTGTTCGTGTACATTTGCTTTTGTCTACACCATTTATAGTTGGAGGGAGCTAACATGACAGGGCACACTGTACTGTAGAGGAGGCCGTAAACCAAAGCTTGACTAATAGAAAGTGGATTATGAAACTGCTTTTCTGGCAACTTGAATATTAAACAGAAGGTAAGTGACTGAAATGTAATGCTTATCATGCTGGGTTGAAGGACCACTAGTGATCTGTGAATCCCTTCTTTATGCTTTGCACATTCATGCATGCACACAGACGGCTAACAGTTGGGAAGTACTTTGTGAAATTTCAATTAAAAGGCCATTCTTAACAGTATGTGAAGAAATATGCCAGCTTTCTTTAGAGGGTAAAAGTGCTTCACAGAGTTGTGAAATTCTCCTTGATTACTGTGTGCAAGTGTTATCTTACTGAAAGCGATACAGCCCTTCTGGAACATAATTCCTTTGAATACCAATTTTAGTTCCATTGTTCCCTCTCACTTTTATTTTTTTATTTTCGTCAGGGAGAAGTGTCTCCTTCCTCTCCAGTTGGCTCTGGAATCGAAGAGCATGAAGCTGGCCCAACAGGCTCTAGCAGGCATGCAGGTATGGCTTTAGAGTGGGAGTGTGTTAGTAGGCAATGGGTGTCAAGGAAGTCTAGGCTTTTCTTTTGAAAAATACTATACAAAAAGTGTCTATCCTCAGGTGGACCTAACAATAATGTTCGTGTTTCTGTAACAGTGTTCAGAAGTTAGGATGCAAGTAAAGGCTGGTGATTCTGCAGAAGCTAAAAATGTTCTGCAGATAGGTGGGACTTCCTGGCTTTCAGTGTTGAAATGGAGGTATACTCTTCCTTGTGTGGCCCTGTGCTATTCTCAATAAGCTTTGCCACTGCTAAACATCTTAGAAACTAAACTGAGTCAAGTCTTTCTGTTTTCTTTGATTAGAAGAGAGGACTGCAGTGCTTGAAAGATGGAGAGGTTAATAAAGGATCTGGGAGTTGCATTCTCTATGTGTGGGCACTTTCCAGGGTTTTTTGTACACTGACACAGTAGGAGTGGCATCTGATTTGCAAGTTTATGAAATTGCAAAAGAAAACAGCAGTGCAGCACAAGCGACAAAAAGCCTCTCTCGGGTTTGACAGTATAAAAACTAAAGCAGTTTACCTTTCTTTTAATTGGACAAATGAGTACATATCAGTAAATACTTATCACTAGGGGGATGCTAGTTGTAGAAGAGGCTGGTACACTGCTGGGGCGTGAAATACATGCCACCATTTTCCAAAAAGAAATTTCTCCCTCAAAGGCCAAGCATGAAGTTGTTTTGGGAGTATAAGGATGTAAGTGGATCATTCAAATTCACTTAATTCAGCACATGAGGTGTCAGGCATTTGGTTAGAGAGTGCCCCATATTGGGGCACAACATGGTTGTAGGAGGCTCTAGCTAAGGGAAAAAGGTACTTTGTGAAGGGTTCCTGTAATTATTGGACTCTGTCAGAAGGCACGTATCACCTTCTTGCAGCGTAGTACTCTGGTCCCACTCTGAGATTCTGTGCCCTGTGTTGCAGATATACAGAGGGGTGGTTGCTTTTAAAGAGAAAGCAATAGTAGGCTATTGGGACTTGAACATATGCCTGCTGTTGTACTGGAGCAGGTATGCCTGTTAGAAGAACATCGTAGGGTGATGATCAACCAAGAATAGTGGAGGAATTATGAATGACCCACTGCCCACTGTAGTATAACTTCCTTGGGAACACTCAGATAAAATTTATATTTTTACTCTTCTAACTTGCTGCACATACACTTGAGTTCTGTAAGAACTGGCATTGTGAAGTTGCGGATATGCAGCATGGTACCTTAAATAAGAGCGTTACCTCCTATCTAGAAGCCTAAAAAAGTAATCCAGGTGACAATACAGTCCTCCATTTATGATATGTGAAGTTTTATGAAGGACAAAAAAGCAAACCACACAACTGATGCTATGGAGATAGTTTGAAAAAATAGGATAAAAGACAAAAATGAGATGAAGTACAACTTGAATTTACCAAAAGTAGGTCACAGGATCACAGCATGGTGGAGGTTAGCAGTGACCTCTGGAAGTCATCTGGTCCAGCCCCCCTGCTCAAGTAGGGTCACCTACAGCAGGTTGCCCAGGACCATGTCCAGATGGCTTTTGAATATCTCCAGGGAGGGAGACTCCACAACCTCCCTGGGCAGCCTGTGCCAGTGCTCAGTCACCCTCATAGTAAAGTGTTTCCTGATGTTCAGAAGGAAACTCCTGTGTTTCAATTTGTGCCCATTGCTTCTTTTCCTGTCACTGGACACCACTGAAAAGAGCCTGGCTCTGTTCTCTTTGCATCCTCCCTTCAGGTATTTATATTTTGAGAGATGAGATTGATGAAATCCCCCCTAAGCCTTGTCTTCTCCAGACTAAACAGTCCCATCTCTTTCAGCCTTTCCTCATATGAGAGATGCTCCAGTCCATCATCTCAGTGGCCCTTCCCTGGACTCTCTCCAATAGCTCCATATCTCTCATACCAAACAAAACATTCTCCTTCATATAGAAAACATATTATTTTCCTTGTAAATTGAGTTAAATCTCATCAGGCTGTACAGTGCTAAAACACTTGATAAACTGCTGTGTGGGAAATTCTTTAAAACATTGTTGTGGGTTAACCCTGGCCAGCAGCTCAGCCCTACCCAGCCACTCACTCACTCCCTCACAGTGGGATTGGGGAGAGAATCAGAAGGGTAAAAGTGAGAAAACTTGTGTGCTCAGCCAAAGTTTAATAGGGAAAGCAAAGTTGCGTGTGCAAGCAAAACAATATAAGGAGTTCATTCACTGCTTCCCATCGGCAGGCAGGTGTTCAGCCATCTCCAGGAAAGCAGGGCTCCATCATAGAATCATAGAATCATTAAGGTTGGAAGAGACCTCTAAGATCATCGAGTACAACCATCAACCCAACACCACCATGCCCACTAAACCATGTCCCTAAGCCCCTCATCTACACATCTTTTAAATACTTCCAGGGATGGGGACTCAACCACTTCCCTGGACAGCCTGTTCCAATGTTCAACCACTCTTTC